GTACGGTACGGTTAACATTATGTGGAATTGTGGAGAGAAATTACACTTAGACTGTGATACATGCAATCATTTTTATTGACATTTGAATGTTTCACAATCTTTGCATCGAAGAGGGAGGAGGCGGGATTCAGCGATCAAGCCAGCCTCCACTTGGGAAAACCTAGTCAAGCCAGCCCGCACGTGATATTGCGTTGCACGAATATCCTATGCATTACGGTAGAGTCCTGGAAAAACTGCCTTCAAAATAAAAGCGCTTAATCGGTCAATAACAAATACACCTAAATAACATACCAAACATATTAAATTAAGAAATATGTACTATATAATGTGATCAATAATTATTCAAAACAAACTACGTATAACTACCACATTATAAATGAGTGAATGTAAAACTTAAGGAGTTTCAAAATAAAAGACCTTTGAAGTCTCATATATATGAGCTATCATCCCTCTGTTTTTAGATCAGAATAAAACAAAAACTCTCCAGAATCAAAGACTCACTTCACTCCAGGGTGATAGCAGGACACCCCATTTAGTCACTCAGAGAAAATAAGGACAATCTGAAGTACAGTTTCAAAATAAAATACCTGTGAAATCTCTATTGTATGAGCTATCATCCCTCTGTATTTAGATGAGAATAAAACAAAAACTCTCCAGTATCAAAGACTTATTTCACACCAGGGTGATAGCAGGACACCTCATCTAGTCACTCAGAGAAAATCAGGACAATCTGATATAGAACTTCAAAATAAAAGACCTTTGAAGTCTCATATATGAGCTATCACCCCGAAAAAAAATTGGAAAACAGATAGTGTAAAATAGAAGAGAAATAAAGGTTAAAGCAAAAATATCCATGTTCACTATAAAATAAGAGTATCTACATCTAAATGCACACTATAGAACAGACAAGAATACATTTTAAATTCTCAAAAGTATGCACCGCATGTACGATGTAAGTACAATGTAGCAGACGGATCAAACAATGTATGGTGCTGGGAGTTATCTGCTGGCCAGGGATGACGAGTTGTAGAGGGTTATTGCTTTAGAAATGTTTTTCTTTATGTAGTTATGTACACATGACAAAACACTTTTTAATCTTTTAATTTTTGAAAAGAATGTGGGTGTGGAGTCCCTCCAGTTCCTAGGATACACTATCTTCCATGAGCTGAAACTGACATAAAATGCATATTAATGTGCCAAGCATAGACTGTATTTCCTAAGCCACTCCGCCTTATGTCCTATACCATTAGATATATTTTTAGGGGCACTGATATGATATGTTAACTTCCTATTCTTAAATACACTTGCAACATACAGTATGTGTTTTTGATACACTACACTTACAGCACAAGAACATTTACAATATTTTTAGTATCAGTGATAATAATATGAACCTGTCTACATCAAATTAATTGTTAAGCCTTCATCATTGCCTATTTTGCCTCAAGTGCCTTGGGCCCATGACAAGTTGTTGTGTCAGCTTTTTAAATGTTTCCTACTTAACAATTAAACAGAGGCAGAAAGAAGAAAATTGGTGATGCGGCCTTCGTTAATTATGCCCCAAAGCTGTGGAACACGATACCGTTAGACATCAGGGAAGCCTGCTCGGTCTAAATATTCAAGAAAAAGCTAAAGCTTTAGATAGCTACTTGGTTTTCTTTTATTATCCTGAATTTTGAATCTATTTTTTACTCAATGTCTATTCTATGCTAATTTTATTTATATTTGTATGTCTTTTAACCCTTTCATATGTGATATCAATGTTCTTGTTAACTGGATTTTATTCGACATCCATTTTTTTAATTAAACTCTATCTTATGAGACTGTGAAGCACTTTGGACTGCAACTCCTGTATGAAAGGTGCTATACAAATAAAGGTTATTGTTAATATTATTATTATTATTATACTCTACATCAAGAAAAACATGTTTTGTCTTTTACTGACCGCAGTGGGTGTCAGCGTATTCGTCTTGTATTTTATTTTTTTATATTTCTGTGTTTTTGTATTTTTCCTTTTCTGAAATACAGAAAGGCTTTTAAATTGGAGTGGGCACAGACAGTCACAAGGCCCCATACTATACTTCTGAACTTTAATAATCATATCATCTTGAACAAATAAATACACACAAACACACACAAATTGGTGAAACAGACAAGATGACAACATATCATTTTTTTAGGTAAGCATTTTCTCATCTAACAACAGAGGGATGATAGCTCATATATGAGACTTCAAAGATATTTTATTTTGAAACTGTACATCAGATTGTCCTGATTTTCTTTGAGTGACTAGATGGGATGTCCTGCTATCACCCTGAAGTGAAATAAGTATTTGATACTGGAGGGTTTTTGTTTTATTCTTATCTAAAAACAGAGGGATGATAGCTCATATATGAGACTTCAAAGGTATTTTATTTTGAAACTCTTTAAGTTTTACATTCACTCAGTTATAATGTGGTAGTTATACGTAGTTTGTCTTACATTATTATTGATCACATTAGGCCTATACAGAGTACATATTTTAATATGTTTGGTATAATTATTATTGACCAAGTAAGCAATTTTATTTTGAAGCCAGTTTTTCCAGGCTGCTACCGTAATGCATAGGATATTCGCGCACCGCAAAACAACGCGGATTGTGTTTTCCGAAGTGGAGGCTGGCTTGACCGCAGTAGTAAACTGGAGTAAAAATCGCCTATATGCAGTGGCGGAAAGTAACTAAGTACATTTACTCAAGTATTGTACTTTTTAGTATTTCCATTTTATGCTACTTAATAATTCTACTCAGAGGCATTTCAGAGGCAAATGTCTTACTTTTTACTCCACTACATTTATTTAAAAGTTACTTTCTTACAAATGGAAACACATAATATGCTGATATGGTATAATACATTACAGTTGTACTTTTCTACACAGTATTTCAAGTTTCGTAATTTGGTCCATAATGGCCAATCACAATACTAAAATGCATAACCACCTAACCTAACCCTATAAACAGGATACAAAAAAAATCATAATAATATAATACTGTGAAAAGATCCATTCTGCAGGAATACTTTTACTTTTGATACTTGAGGTACATGTATCAGATAATTCTTCTGAATTTTATATTATTATAATCATTAAGCAAAATGAAAACTTTTACTTTTACATTTTGAAATCCAGACTTTACTTCTATTTTAAGACCATAGTATTTGTACTTTTACTTAAGTAAAGGATCTGAGTACTTCTTCCAACACTGCCTTTATGTAACAATTTAAAAAATGTAACAAGTTGATGGACACTCACACAATATGTGTGACACAATGTAATACAAGAACCGGTATTTTGACCAGAGCTTGACAGAACCTCATCCCCCCCCCACCCCCCCCCCCCTCTCTCTTTTGTTCAGCTTGTATCTCAACTGACAGAAGACTATAGAAAAGACGGGCCACCGGGACTTAAACCATTCCCAGTATAAACTGCAAGACTGATCGATTGCTGGACCAATCAGAAGATGGACTAACCATCAAACTTTCAACTCCCTCCTATCAGCCACCTGTCGGGCCCCTGTGGGCCCTCAGGCAGCAGGTGTGATGCTGGGCGGTAGGCGAAACACGCGGCATCCGCTGTGGCACCTCCTGTCTCCGTTCCGCAGCCAGCAGGAGCGTGTGGTGCTGACCCGTAGCGACAGCCTGCCGGGGGAGCAGCTGCTGAAGATCACCATCACAGAGACCACGGTGATCGAGGCGGAGTCAGGGGCCTGGAACTGGCGCTCCATGACCTACCTGGGCCTCTGGTACTTCTTCAGCTTCTGCACTCTTTTCCTCAACAAGTACATCCTGTCACTGCTGGAGGGGGAGCCAAGCATGCTGGGTAAATACATGATAAATATACTTATCCACACACATGTGGGTATACGGGAGTAACTACTAACCAATTACAACAACCTTGTCAGCTTTCTGCAGGTTACATTGAATATAAACACCTGGGACTCAACAACCCATTGAGATTTGGCTCTACGTCCTATGTCACATTCAGGCTCATTAGGATATTGTCCCCAAGATTAGTATCTCCAAAAACAGCTTGAGAACTAGGTTTTTTTAATTTTTCTTGTCAGCCAATAAGAGCAGACTGGGCTTTATCGTAAGGGGGTCTTAAAGAGACAGCCACTTCAACAGAGCTTTTCGGCGAGAGGGTGATTACAGGTATATACGGACAAAAAAGTGTTGTTTGTTTTGACATTAAAGCATGTAAACATGTTTTAGTAGAAACCCAATTACAAGTATAAACCAGAAATGTTAGCATTAAATGGCCCCTTTTTAATAATAACAAAGCTAAATAAAGGCAGGAAACCTGTACTTTATGGCTTTGTTGACTGACTATACTTTTTCCTTAGAGTCATGGTTTGGAAACATATCTTTTAAAAGACAGAAAATATTCAAATTCAATTGTTATCGAGATGGTTGCAGGGGACACCCAGCTCTATTTTAAATTATTAATCCAGCCCTTTGCATTGTACATTAGAACTCCTCCCTTTCGGACAAAGTTTATAAGCACTTGGTGTAGAACAAAGCAGGAGAAAAACAGCTTTGCTTCTGTGGTCATGACTCAGATGAACAAGTCATAGTTACATTGGACAGATGCTATAAAATTAATGCTAATAATTATTTTATTTTAGGTGATTTTGCTTGCTAATTCTACATACAACCTGCAAGTAACGTGAAACCAATCTTTGTGGTTGTGCAGGTCCCTCTGTATCATCAGATTTTTTGCTATATTATTGTTCAGCTTTTTGTAAAGCACCCCATGACTCTTAAGATTGATGGCATGGCTGATCTGCAAGAAAAACTACTTGCACAAAAAAACATGTCACTTCCTTAAAATAGGTAATAACGAAAGATGTCCATAGAATTTTTTTTTACTCTGCTGGTGCATTCAGGGACCTTTTTAAAATCTGACAGATGCCAACCATTTTAATGATACTGTATAGACTTTACCTTTTTCACCCAGTAATTAGTTCTCTAAGATTGTTTTAATATATTTAAGATGCGCTAACACACGTGATGATAATGTTACTTTGACAAAAACAATAAGTATTTAAATACAAATGCACACTGGTGGATTTCCTAATTCATGCATGTTTTGCTCACTGCAAGTAGTTTTTTGTTGTTTCCTGAAATGAATGGAAACACATCTGTGTCCTAAACAAGCAGGTAGGGTGCTGCTGTTCATGTTCTGCTTCCACCTTTATTTGTCCAACAAGACAATGGTAAATATTACTGTTGCAGTTCTAGGAGTCAAAGGTCATCCGACGTCATGCCTCAGGGTTTCTTTGCTTCCATGTGCTCCCAGGTGCTGTTCAGATGCTCTCCACCACCATCATAGGCTTCCTAAAGATGTTTGTACCATGTTGCCTTTACCAGCACAAGTCCAGAACAGAGTACCCCCCCAACTTCATCATGATCATGCTGTTTGTTGGACTCATGAGGTGGGTCCCCTTTTGTTTTTGTTAGTCATTGAATAACTAGTAGCTTCTAAGAAAGTAGAACAGATTTTGTGCTAGATTAACAAATGCTGATGCAATTTCAAGTCATATCTTGGCATCATCTTTGTCTCCTTTCCTCAGGTTCACCACTGTGGTTCTGGGCTTGGTGAGCCTGAAGAATGTGGCGGTGTCTTTTGCAGAGACGGTGAAGAGCTCGGCTCCCATCTTCACTGTGATCATGTCCAGGCTGATCCTCGGGGAGTACACAGGTAGAGCACACACTGATGTCAGGAGAGCAGGGCTTTAGGGGACACTGAATGTCTTTCACTTCAGAGAGTCAAACTGGTCTTGGTCTTTCCTCAGGATTTTTCTAGTTACTTGTACCAGTAACATGTAGTAGGCCAAGATGCACTGGAAGTATTGTCAGTTGGTTAGTTGATGCACAGAAATGACTCTTGCCTTCCAAACGGGTCAAATCAATGGCCACCACTCTTTGAGCAGGGTCCTCTAACGCTTTTTGTTGGAGCATCAATGCAGTAATGTTTTGGGGACATATACAACTCCAAACCTACTTTTGTTTGAGTTTTCTTGAGTTAAACGCAGCATATATTACTTATTTGCCACTAGGGTTCTTCTAATCAAAACAAAAGCGATCGTTTGGTTGAGGCATAAAGTAGCATTGGATCATTGCATTTCGTCAGTCCCGGACATTTCTCCCGGTTAGGATTATTTCAATGTTCAGTAGGTTTTGAATGATATGCAGGAGTCTCTTTCTCTCCCAAACAAACTGACCCCATGAATATAACTGGGAGTTACACTGAGTAAAGGAGTGTCAAATTAATAATCAGTGTTTCTACAATGGTTTTTAGGGGATCAAGGATGAAGGGCCTACGGAGTTACTGCTAATGTTTGCTTACCTTTTATCCTCTTATAACTTAAGATCCTGATGTTTGATTAAAAACACGTTGTGTGTTCAAGATACACAGTTAAATACAACCTTGGTTGAAAAAGTGTATCATAAAATGTGGCTTAAAACTGGATACAATGTATGACAGCTTCTAGGAGAGGCATGAGATCCATCCATCCATCCATCTTCTCCCGCTTATCCGTGGTCGGGTCGCGGAGGTAGCAGTTCCAGCAGAGAGCCCCAAACTTTCTTTTCCCTGGCCACATCAACCAGCTCTGACTGGGGGATCCCAAGGCGCTCCCAGGCCAGCGAAGAGATATAATCCCTCCATCTGGTTCTAGGTCTACCCCTTGGTCTCTTCCCAGCTGGACGTGCCTGGAACACCTCCCTAGGGAGGCGCCCAGGTGGCATCCTAACTAGGTGCCCGAACCACCTCAACTGGCTCCTTTCGACGCGAAGGAGGAGCGGTTCAACTCCGAGTCCCTCCCGGATGACCGAACTTCTCACCTTATCCCTAAGGGAGACACCAGCCACCCTGCGGAGAAAACCCATCTCGGCCGCTTGTACCCGCGATCTCGTTCTTTCGGTCATGACCCATCCTTCATGACCATAGGTGAGGGTAGGAACGAAAATGGAGCGGTAGACAGAGAGCTTTGCCTTCTGGCTCAGCTCCTTCGTCCTATCCCTCCTCGTCACCAACTGGAATGCNTCCACAGAGAGATGCTAGCATATTGCCTAACCGCGTGGTGTGCCAGCTGCTTCTGGGCTGTGTTGATGACCCTCCGAAGAGCTTTCCTGTCCTTTTCTGAGCAGCTGGCACACCACGCGGTTAGGCAATATGCTAGCATCTCTCTGTGGAACTGGGTCTTTCTAAAAGTGACTACTACAGCCTTACCTCTATTTGGGAGTAAACACAGCCTGGTTTTGCTACTTTTAACCCATCTAGCAGCTTTAAGGGGAGCTAATCTGTCACTAACTGCTGCCTGAAACAGACAGTGCTGGGAGCCACTTATGTGACGGAGCGAGTCAAGGGGCCAACTGTCTGACAAGGCTGTGTCAGGTCAACAACAAGTCCTTACTAGGGATGGGTACCGATACGGCTTATCGATACCGGTATTTTTCGATACTCTTACCCCCTTCCCTCAGGGGAATTCATCCACAGAAAACACACTGGACGCAGCACTAGGTCAGAAACCAGAGGAGACTGTGAAGTCCACCACAGACGGACCACCTCTGGACAAAATGTCCTCTCCATTAAAGGCAGCTCATTGTGGAATAGCCCCCCAACTGAGATACGGGATTGTCCCACTCTCAATAGTTTTAAAGGTCAACTTAAAGAATGGTTGAGCAACAAACAGACGTGTAATCACCGCTAAATAAATGCACTTTAACACAGGGGTATCTCCTCTTGCACTTTATGTAGCGCTTTTATCTTATCTTGCACTTTATATATCATAGCTGCTACATTGTACTGCCATGTGGTAAATGCTTGTATGCTGCTCATGCTCTTTCTGCATATCATGTATTTTATTTTTGTGTATGGGACTATAGATGGAATTAGCTCAAAGCTCAAATCCGGACTCATTTACGACTTGTAAGCNTTTATGTAGCGCTTTTTATCTTATCTTGCACTTTATATATCATAGCTGCTACATTGTACTGCCATGTGGTAAATGCTTGTATGCTGCTCATGCTCTTTCTGCATATCATGTATTTATTTTTGCTATGTATATAAATGTCATGTTCTTGTATGTTGTATGTGAGGGGACTGCGGATGGAAATGAGCTCAAAGCTAAAATCCGGCTCATTTACGCTTGTAAGCATTGTTTTGTTTTAAAGTGTTCATCGATGTGCACTGTCCCGGTTCAAATAAACATTTAAATGAAATGATACGTTTAAATAATTTGGTGCTCAAAATTATAGACATGATTACAAGATGTGAAGATTAAACAGTCATTTTATTGTAATTTATTTGTATTTATTATTTAATGTAACTTTTTCAATGTCATACCAAGCAGGTATGAGTGTGTTTGACAGTGTGTCTCTGGAAGGGGGGCGGTAATTAGGGGCGGTTCATAAATCCATGTAAACATGACCATTATTCAGTTAAAACGAGACGCTGCTTGCGCACCTCCTAAACCGGAAGCTCCGGTCGGCTAACCATTATAATCCATTTATTGCGTTTATTATTTATAATTTTAATGATGGATTGTCAGTAATCATTTCAAAGTGAGACATTGGATTAACCTTCAGCAGCGTTTTTATGCCCTTGAACACAACTTTTGATCACAAAACAGCAAAGGTAAGACATAATTATCATCATGGCTACATAAAGTGAAGTTGTTTTCTTGCTCTTTCCTGGCTGCTAGTTCAGTGAGTTTTGGTCGTACAGTGATTAGACAAATACCAATGGAATCTGTGGAATCTCAGCTTTCATGTGATATGTCGTTTGTGCATATTGCATGACGTAGAAAAGATCGCTTTTGTCAGTTATGTGCTAAAGTAGCCGTTAGCCCCGTTAGCCCGTTTCGCTAAGTGTTGAATTAGACTCTTGGTGTTGGACTTCTGTTCCGTGTAGGTAAAAATGGTTCATATCATCTGTTAGTTGAGTTTCTTCCCGTTAAGTGGGTATGCATGATTAATAGGTTGTTAAATGTTAAGAAGCCTTGAGACGCTGTTTCTTGCAAGATGTTGCGTCTGCCCCCGGGAGTCTCACAATAATAAGAGTGCTGTTAGGAGAGATGACGAGTGGCTTTCACAGTGGCCAATCAGAGTGGTACTCAAACCGGATACGTCACACGGGATGAGGGTTCCCAACCAACCATAATTGTTTAAACTAAGGAAGTAGCGTAATTCATATACCGATAGCAGCACCGTTTGTCCAGCGGCTTAACGGTATACCGATACCGTCCATTCTGGTACCGGTACTGACTTAGTACCTGTTCTCGATACCCATCCCTAGTCCTTACATAACACGGCAGGCTGACTCACTACCTAGATGTATGTGACAGTTCAGCAGGTGGACGGAATAACAGGAACACCTTCCATCTAAATATAACAATCCAAATGCAATAGCTCTGCAACACAACCCACGGCTCTTTGTGAAGAGTCTGCTTGATAATAATTCATTAAGGCTGATATGAATGTGTAGTAACTTGTTTTGGTATTATAAAACAAGAACATGTTTTTACCGCAAAGAACATGGCTTTGCATATACATGAACCTCTCTTTCACAATACCTTCATTTCAAGAAAAAGGTCTGGGAAAGATAGTCCGTAAGATCACTTTGCCAAAGTATTTGCTCTTCTGTTGAACAGAAATACAAGGCTTTATTAAAGTGATACATTTTTGTTGTTTTGGCTATTAATTCTGAGTGCAGGAGTGGTATGCCATTTTATACAGTTGTGCAAAAATGTTTTGCCTCTAAAATTGGGAAAAATGACAAAACACACTTTAAGTGTTTTAAGTGCATTAAAGGCGACCGAGATGAAGACACATGACAAGTTTACACATAATATATGTAATTCGATGTGTGTATGTAAAAAATGGGATGAGGGGAAAGAAAGAGACAAAGGCTGGATCAATATTTAAAGGGGCCCTATTATGCTCATTTTCAGGTTCATCTTTGTGTTCTGTTCCTCTACTGTGACATCTCTCCATGCTTTAATGTTCAAAAAGCTCTTTATTTTTCTCATACTGCCTGTGCTGCGGCACCTCTTTTCACCCTCTGTCTGGAACCAGAGCCCAGTCTGCTCTGATTTGTTAGCTGGCCGGCTCTGTTGTGATTGGTCAACCACTTAGAGATGTCCCGCCCCTTAGTCTANTTGAAGGTCCTGCTACGGGCCTGTATACGGCGGGTCAGAGCAGCTCTTCGTTTGCCATGGCGGCACTAGGAAGGGTCGTGCTCGCTTTAAACAGCGGCTGTCCCACTGGGTTGTCGATGCCATCTCACATGCCTATGGGGCCAGTGGCCGCCCCCTGCCATCAGGGCTGAGATGCCACTCTACAAGGAGCATCTCAACATCTCGGGCTGCCCTGAGCGTCCAAAAATATTAATAATTTGAGAGAAGATCGAGAGTTTTTATTGCTTGAAATGACGAAAAGGAAAAAGGACAAGGACATCCCTCTGTTGGAGGGGCAAAGGAGTCTGGTGGGATAATTTTCGGAGTATTGAAGAGCGTTTCCACAACATCGAAGGTGCCTGCTACAGGACAACAAGGAGCGTGCGCGATTTGGACGCGATGAGCGGGGTTTTTTTAGTGGAGCACACGCGTGAACTGCGAGCACCGGAGCCTCGCAGCGGCGAAACTGAGGCTCCGAGGTAAACTGTGGTAACATGAAGAACCGCTTAGGAGCCGAAATAGCCGGCGCTTTAAGAGAGCCGAGCCAAATGATCCGGCTCACTAACGTAAGAAGACAGTATCTATAAAGGGACGGCTCAAGTCAACCCCCCGCTCTCGGGGCGGACGCCGCTCGTGGAGCCCTGGTCCTGGCGGGAAATCACTGGTGCTAGCCAAGTGTGAGTGTTATGTCCGTGATGTGACCCTAAGTTACAGAAGGAAACGAAGGAGTCCAATGGAGGAGTTTGCGGGATACAGAAACTCCCTCTGGAGGGAACGAGGAATTTTACGCTTTGCCATGCACCGTTTACATGCATACAAACCATATTTAACACAACTACGCGGAAAGGGAAAAACCGCCAAGAAGTCATTAAAGGGCCCTTTTAACCACAGGAAAAAAAGCTGTATATAAATAAAAGAAGACAATGGGACCCTGACTACAGAAAGGCGGTGGCTGGATTTTGGCCCTGATAAGTCAGGGACAGCTGGAGTTGAGTTAAAATAATGGCTAAAACATTTCACTGTCTTACAGCTTTTTCATTTTCACATTTTGAACCTGTCCTGTTCACATTAAAGTAATGGTAAAAATATTGAATTAATAGAATATGTCAAAAACAACATGAACTGCATTGATAT